ATGATTTCAGTACAAACGTATACACCATCATGCAGTTGTCTACAGTACAATATCAATTCATGAACACACACACTTATTTTTTTTATTGTAGCTTAGTTTATTTAAAATCTGATTATGAGAATGTTGGGTCGAATGGAGATTAATTTATTTGATTAATACCTATCACTAGCTTCAATAAGTTTTGGTAGTTTACCATCAAAGTTGGACCAAGTAGTTGAAAGGCTTAAATTTTATTTTTGCTATTCCTGTCGTGCTTCATTATTATACAAGGGGTTTTAAATGAGTCAGGCGATCGTGTCGATAGTTTTGTCGTGGTTAGTTCACTAACGACCAATTAGACTACTGAATTTCACGTCTGAGTTATCGCACTACTTGACTTAACTGTTGACTAGAACTATTATTTCCTTTGGAGTACTGCAAATTGTTTCTGTTAATAGTACAAGTTCGGGTTGGTTTTTTCGTATAGATACACTTATTTGTGCTTGTCATATTTACTAACTATTGAGAATTTAAACTCAAAACACTCTAATTCCCGGGTTTTCACATGGCAGACGTTGAAAAATCTTTGCACTGATGCTCTAATAAAACTAAGTTTTGTCGAAACATAATAATTTGGAGGCTGTTGTTTGATGAAGGAAATAAAGTTAAGATTGTTATTGTTATTTAAATAATTGTCTTCCCTGATATCAAAAATGTTGAATCGCGTCTATTGATGACTACTTCGCATTGTACAAAGTCAATGATAGTAAGATGCTGGTGTACAAACTGTTGTCCGCAGTTCTATTGGACTGGATCTATATGATCTGATGATCCACAGTGCAAGAGTCAAGTGGTTTAGTGGCTACGAGAGAATGTAAATGTCACTCCGGCTTCTCGTATCGTCATCAGACCCAGACCCGGTTCAGCCGCGGCGAGTTGTGTTTTACGTTTTGTCGTCGGATTCCTGAGTGCTGACCCTGTCTACGCGTCTAGACACTAGTACAATTCTCACAGCCACACGGGACTAGGAACGTGACTTCGAGTCGAAACACGATAACATCTCATGAAAACTATCGACAGTAATTAATTGTAGATGGCATAACTGTGAAGTGAAATATTTCTATTTAACATCTCTGGATTTTAGTCAAAAACACTCATTTAACATATGGAATTTTCGTAGACTTCTGAAATTGCAGCGGGTACGTGAAACACGTTTTAAAACCAGAGTGTAAACTGATGTGTTTTAGGATCAAGCAACAAATTTTTCATGTCTTCACCTAAAATCCAAAATGTTGTCATTGCATATTTAAAAGTAATTTGGTTATAGCCATGTTTTAAATAATGGCGAGCAACCGTTGAATAATTAATTTAAAACCACCAGCGTTTAGTGGTGTAACCCTCAGTGTTGTTGGACGCATTTCCCTCCTACCTTCCACACGCCATTTTAATTTACACGCCTCTACACCTGCAGAAACTCAGATTCTCTAGACTTTGGTATGTTGACTACATTTTAAATTACAAATCAAACTATTCATCTCAGTTTCTTGTTTTGCTCCAAAAACGAACTATTCGTGCCTAGTTTATATTTTTAATATTTTAGAGTTGAGTTGTATTACAAAATTGTTTCCAATAACACATTGGGATCCGCCAAGGCGATTACGTACACCTTTCAGTTTCGTTTCCGCCGGTTTTATCCGTTATGGAGGAAGCCACTCAAGTCCAAGTAGGCTGGCACAGGTCCAAGTCCAACACAAACCGGCTGTAGAAGATCCTGCGCGTGTGGAAATATGTTTTTTCATAACGTGTTTGTCTGGACTGACTTTATATACTCATCTGTTTCAGTTGGGTATTATTTGAGGCGTGACCTAAAAAGCCCTCTTTCCTATCAACGCGTTTATCAATAGTGGAGTGATAAGTGATAACGCGTGGTTGTAGACAGGAAAATCACATTTTTGTATCCTTGTAAAACAATACACTTGAAAATCAATGCTAAAATCCGTTGAATATATAGCACATATGCTATCATTAATGCTAATACAGGTGAACTAGAATTTACTTAAATGCAATTCCAAGGATTAAAAATTAAAACAATACATTGGATTTTAACGGTTTCTTAAAGATAATTGACAAATACATAAATTTTATAACCTGTTGGTACTTTGTGTGCGAAACCGACGGTAATATCTTATTCCTTGTGGGAAATTCGTCATAAATATGTCTGTATGCGAACTTAATCAATCATTGTTGAAATGTATGTAGTTTAGTCAGCGTGCACCAAGTTGCATTATAGCGGGCAAAAATTCCTTTTTTAATTACTACATTGAAAACGAAAACATTTTAAAACAATTAAACTTAAGAACCGGTTTTATAACATTATTAACTGCAATATTGTATATTAAGTTTGGTATATATTAAGCTCTTACACAAACATACTAGTTAATTGGTAATTTGGCCAATGCTTATGTGCTCAATAATATTTCTAAATAGTATAATTAAATCTTCCATCAATTTTAAATTTGTAGCTAGCTTTACTTAAAAGCTCAGTTCAAATATTATTAAAGACTTATACTGTCACCAATAATCAACACTTGTCATAGCGCTCAAGAACGTATTAGTTTTGAAATCATTTTAAACAACTGAACGAAATAGTTTTCGCCAATCAGCTGATTGTTATATCAGCTGATGAATGTCTTTTACTAAGATCCAGCTGTAAAACCTGTAGTGACGTGTATCTTTGTATTGTTGTGTGACTGTGCTGTGAACGTTGTTACTTCAATAGTTTTAGTTCGATGATATGGACTGTGTGCTGTGTCGGCTTACTTCGGAAATACTAATTGGAGACGGTAAACATAAATAAAAGGTTAGTTGTATACACGTTAATAATCGTAGGAATTGTTTGTAACAACTAATTTTAACAGAATTTTTTAATGCTATCATTTTTGTTAGACGAATTATACGTTCTTTTTCAGACCACTGTTTTACATTGTCACCAAACCAATTGTTTTCAAAGACAGCTTATAACACTTGTTTTTCTATTGTTTAGTGCTTAAGATTACTCATTTTGACAAGGGTTAATTAATTAATACTTTTCCTATGTTTTTGTGTGCTTTAGTACCGATTTCAAAATCGATAACAAGTGTACAAACTTTACACATAGGCCTACGAATATCAAATAGTTGCATTGTTAATCATATCTGTCTTCAAACCCAAACATTGGTTTACAAACAAAACGGTTAACCCGGTCAATTGTCTTTGGCACTTTGTTGTTTACTAATAATTGATTAGACAACTTGTGATCGCTCAAGTGGTGTTAATTAGGCGATAAAACCTACTTGACTATTCCATACCCGATAACGCGGTAACTTTAGATATACCTAGTTTCGCAAATCCAACATGATTTCACGTATCGCAGCAACTATCACGATGCAAAACCTCTCCTTCCTTCACCCCTTATGACCTCAACCTGTCATGTTCAATGTTCAATGCTCATGTTCATGTTTAAGACTGACTGTGACAGCGTCACACAGATTGATAGCTTGTCATTTCTGCTTTGAACCCAATATCGTTCATGTCTTGTTCATACCAGATTATTTTGACACGTTTCCATGCGAAAGGGTTTTTATTGGTGTCAATATAATCCTGTTAAAATCGTTTTACAATATCCTTGATCGGCTGAAATGATGACTGGTTAATTGAATAATAGTAACTTGTCAGGAAAAAGTCCAGAATAATCTTTATAGATTTGTCTTTATGAACTTTGTTTTGATGCGTATTTTTTTGGGGTGCAAATAAAAATAAATATGTCAAAATCTGTATGGGTGGTTACTTGAAAAATATTTAGCAAATACTGCAAAATATTTAGTCACTTGTATTGTTGTTTAAAATGTGTCCTGGTTAAGGGTATACGAAATTGCAATTAGTCATGTTTGGTACCGGTACGTTAAAAAAGTTGTGTAAGCCGATTGTAAATTCAAATAAATTGTTGTATTTCATTCATATTTTTCCTACATCACTGCTTGATATTCAGTGAGAACTACGCCTATTGTCTACAATATCAGAATAACAATTGGTTTTTAATGACTGAAACCACAATCACGACTATGGATATTCTTCGCAGTTATATTCCATTACAATGAGTCACATCGTGTCGTTGTCTTAATTTACCATAAACAGTGATGCATGTCTTTATGCAATGTAAGCATATTCCTCGAAGGTAAACTGCTTATGCAAGCCGTGCAGTGCAAAAAGAAGAGAATAATCGAACTTTCTTACCTGGAAATAATGGCAAACAATTTATTTATATCAGTGCTCGTATGTGTTTGTGTAATACACTATAATGTTAATAAAGTTTCACTTCTTGATAATTTTGAACGCTTGTGTGTGCAATATATCAATTATATTGTAGTCAGTTTATAATTGCAATACGGCCATCCACCCATTTGGACTATATTACAAACTTAACTTGTACTTTAGATTTACCCTTGCTTAAGAATGGTATAAGAAGACTTAGTAGAAAAAAGTAGTAATTTGAATTCACTTTTGACAATTAATTACAAGTACAGTAACATCAGGATAGAATAAGATAACGATTCATCAACTATTGTTTGTTATTTTCTTTGATTTACTAAAATCATCTGGTAGTGAAAATTATTTATTAACCTAAAAAATCAGTAAACAATACAGTACAGATCTTACTATCGTTTCCATGGAGAACAATCAATGAACCTTTCTAGGTTAACATTAAAACATGTTTTAGAAATGGTCAGGAAAAATTATGCAAAGAAATAATAACTCAGTGTTTCTGTTCGACAATTTGTTGGTGAAATAAAGAAGTAATGGTTTCGGGTAGTGATTCAACAAAATATTGAACCAGCTTTAAACCAATGCCTCGAATGTGACGTTAGTGAGAGAAAAGGATACATACATATCAAAATCAGGTAGTTACACTGTAAATGCAATTAATTAGAATTGTTTGGTCCTGAACCGTGTTAATCTTCTATCGTAAGTAACTCCAGGATTACCTGATGTTCCGGCAGCGTACTGCTTGATTACTCCTATTGTTGATCTCTTCATGTTGTACAACAGCTGATTTCTCACATATCACAACCTACACCACAAGTACTGCTACAAACAGACTGACACACACACACACTACAGTTGGAGTACCAAGTACGTTATAGTGGTGGTAGCGCGGGATGGCGGTAACTGCCCCCTCCCCCCACTCCTCGTCTCCAGCAACAGCTGTTGTTTGGTAAACAATAGGTCACGTGACGCTCTACACCTTGTAGGTGTTTGTTCCGTAACAATAGTCAATAGTCGAGTTGATGGATGGATGTGATTGGTTGCAATGGTTGTATTTAGGTTATGTTGTGTAGTGAAGGTTGGAGTTGGTTTTTCACACTTGCAGAAAACCATTCATGTTGGTGATGGACTATTTATTAACAATTTTGTTCGCCTCTTCATTATATCTGCTAGGGTTTCTGTTGGTAGTTTTGTTTATTTTTTAACCACATACAAAATCTACAATACTTCAACTTTTTTTGTTTTTGTTTAGATGATTTTGGATACTCCCCACTGGTGAAGTGAAAAAATAAATTATCATAAAGTAGTTTGTTAAACCTTTGACTTTGAACAGTGAAAGTAGAGTTCTGGTCCAATTGAAAAATCTGGAGTCTGTTTTATGTGGTTATGCTTGGCGTTGGAAATGTTTTGCACTGTTTTGCTGTTAATCTTATACTTAACTACATCGTTCACCATTTTGACGTATTCATCACAACTTGAACCTTATAAGTGACTTCACTATGCTTTTTCTAAAGATTTCCAAATACAATATTGGAATGGTAATTGAACATTTCAGTACTAAGACACCAATGTTAGGTGAACTTAGTTATGTCTAGGACGAGATTTGACGCTAAGACGAACGCTGAATGTTAGCGAGATGCAGGACTGAATATTCATAAGTTTGTCGTCGGATTGGTCCACAACTCGGCTCAGCTATGAACGTTGACTCTGGATACTGGAGCAGACACCTGTTTCAAGCTTGAGGAAATTATTTGTACAAATAGAGTGTTATTATTAGTCATATCTCCCAAAGTCTGAGGACTATTGAATTCTATATTCTCAGTTTTTCGCAGATAGTTTGGTGGGGAAACGAATGATGTAGTTGGTCTCAGTTTGGTTGAAAATGTTGTTGTATAGGAAAATGGGATTTTACGACAGTACTGTCTATCGACGGTTCAACTGGACTGAGTTTTAACCATCGAAGTATAATAACACAACTATTGTGTTATATACTTCGATGGTTTTAACATAGCTATTGGATGTTACAGTTGTGCATTTATAGACTAAGCAATTAACTATTGATTTCTATTTATAGCATCGGTACAGACAATTTCATCGGTGTCACTTTGTGCTGTGATTTCTCCGATGATTAGTTCCACAGTGATATAATAGTTGGACTGATTAGTTGGTAGGATCACAGACAAAGGATTGTATAGATTACCTTGATTGTAATAGAATTCTTTGTACTTCGGTTCCCTGAATAGAACTTTTAATTCGTACGGTCCGAATTAAATAACAATGTTCAACGCTTTATAGTCTTTAATTTATTTGTGCTCAATATATTCTACTTTTGTGAATATTGAAGTTTATTGTTTAGTCAGTATATGTTTACAGATTGATTAGGTTGGTGGATATTGTGTTCTCCTATAGAATAGGAAGTTGCTGATTCGATTCTGAGAAAAGTCAGTAACTTTTCGGTGGTTCTTGATCGTTGTGCTTTAATAAATAGTTCAGTCTAAAAGAAAGCCTATTTAGTCATTAAAAAGCTATAATTTTATATATTAAAAAAACTCATCTTCGTCTTAAAAAACGTACACTGCTGTGTCGGTGTCGTGTAGATAATCAAATATAATAATTCCTAAAAATTTATTTTGCTGTAATAAATATTTAAGTACTGTAATAAAAAAACACTGTTATGGTATACTGTGTTTTGTAAAGGTCCTTGCTTGGTTTGACCATCTTCCATAATCTAAACAAATTTAAATATTCTTTAGAGCCTACAAGTTATCCTAGACAACTAACGCGGCATTTCTGCTGACAGATGGTTTTCGACAAACTGAAGGCGTTCGACAATGCAATCGTCATTCACAGATATCGATACGTGATCAGAAATTACTCACTAGTGCATATTTGCAATTCATTATAGGTGTTCTTGAAACTATTGTTAATTTGATTATTATCTTGCTTGATTGAACTATATTGCACATTTTACATGAAATTTTACATTTGACATTTGTACATCAACAATACAGTACTAGTATCACAACAATGTTGAATATTATATTATTATAAATGATACGATTGTTTATAATTGCATATAGTGATTATTTTCGACACTAGCTTAAATTGAACTACATAGCTTGTACTGTACAATTTTTGACGGAACTAATTCACAAGACCCTACTATTGCTTATCCTTCACCTTTCAACTCACGAACTTTATGTAAGCTCATGAAATTGCTCTGACAAGTTGATCAAAAACACTTATTTTATTTTTCCCCTGTATGGTCTAATTGGTAAAAGCCTTTAGCATTTATGATACATTGTTATTTAGCCTACTCGTATGTTTAACGTTATGTTAAAGCAATTTGATAACTTGCATGTATTAATTTCCTTTTATTGTTTCAGGTATGCTCTATAAGTTTGTCAATATTCTGCAGCGCCGGTAAGTAGTGTTTTAAAACAAGTTTCACTATTTTTCCAAACAATCGGTGACATCCGCTATTTACTGTTCTGTCGAGCCCCTCCCACTGTTTCCCATTATCTGTATTCCATTACTTTAGAAGCGTTCGGTCATAGTCCCAGCTCACTCTAGTCCAGTCTAGTATAATGTTCACCCCAGTCTAGTACATGTTCAATCCAGTCTAGTACAACATGTTTGCATCATCTATGTATTCGCTGTCAGATTTCTGAGATGCTTTCAAGAGTCGTGTGATGAATATACTTAGGAACCTCATAAAATAGTTTTTTTTTAATTTGTTCCTTTGAGATTATTGGTGAAATAGGTTTTTCATCTAACATATAAAATTGTTAGGATTGATTAGTACTGACCATAACGTTTTGCCATTTTTTATAATATTTATTTCTTATATTCATCGACAAATATGATTATTTTTGATACATTAAAGACGTACGACTAAGAAGTTTAAATATTTATAATCTTTTTTTTAAATTTCAACTGGTGATTTCTGTATTAAAATTTTATTTTACCCACTGTAAAGATTAAAACTGAAACTAAGAAAGATAGTTTAAAATCCGTTCAAAGTTGCATATCCTATAGTAGTAAGATCTTGAAACAAAATGTAATGTGAGTTTGTTTACCTCTACCAATCCTAACTATGTTGTAGTTTTTTGAGTATTATGAGAATAACATTATGAGAAAAACTAGAGTGTAAACATTGTAGACATGACCTGGTGACAGGTGGTAGTTATCACTCTAAACTGGGCTTGTACGTAGACAATGACGACATCACGTGGTTGTCAGATTGTTTACCTCTACCAAACCTCGCTATGTTGTAGTCGTGTTGTATGTACGAGAGTAACATTGTAGACATGACCTGGTGACAGGTGGTAGTTGTCACTCTAAACTGGGCTTGTACGTAGACAATGACGACATCACGTGGTTGTCAGATTGTTTACCTCTACCAAACCTCGCTATGTTGTAGTCGTGTTGTATGTACGAGAGTAACATTGTAGACATGACCTGGTGACAGGTGGTAGTTGTCACTCTAAACTGGGCTTGTACGTAGACAATGACGACATCACGTGGTTGTCAGATTGTTTACCTCTACCAAACCTCGCTATGTTGTAGTCGTGTTGTATGTACGAGAGTAACATTGTAGACATGACCTGGTGACAGGTGGTAGTTGTCACTCTAAACTGGGCTTGTACGTAGACAATGACGTCATCACGTGGTTGTCAGATTGTTTACCTCTACCAAACCTCGCTATGTTGTAGTCGTGTTGTATGTACGAGAGTAACATTGTAGACATGACCTGGTGACAGGTGGTAGTTGTCACTCTAAACTGGGCTTGTACGTAGACAATGACGTCATCACGTGGTTGTCAGATTGTTTACCTCTACCAAACCTCGCTATGTTGTAGTCGTGTTGTATGTACGAGAGTAACATTGTAGACATGACCTGGTGACAGGTGGTAGTTGTCACTCTAAACTGGGCTTGTACGTGGACAATGACGTCATCACGTGGTTGTCAGATTGTTTACCTCTACCAAACCTCGCTATGTTGTAGTCGTGTTGTATGTACGAGAGTAACATTGTAGACATAACCTGGTGACAGGTGGCAGTTGTCACTCTAAACTGGGCTTGTACGTAGACAATGACGACATCACGTGGTTGTCAGATTGTTTACCTCTACCAAACCTCGCTATGTTGTAGTCGTGTTGTATGTACGAGAGTAACATTGTAGACATGACCTGGTGACAGGTGGCAGTTGTCACTCTAAACTGGGCTTGTACGTAGACAATGACGACATCACGTGGTTGTCAGATTGTTTACCTCTACCAAATCTTGCCGTGTTGTAGTCGTGTTGTATGTACGAGAGTAACATTGTAGACATGACCTGGTGACAGGTGGTAGTTGTCACTCTAAACTGGGCTTGTACGTAGACAATGACGTCATCACGTGGTTGTCAGATTGTTTACCTCTACCAAACCTCGCTATGTTGTAGTCGTGTTGTATGTACGAGAGTAACATTGTAGACATGACCTGGTGACAGGTGGTAGTTGTCACTCTAAACTGGGCTTGTACGTAGACAATGACGACATCACGTGGTTGTCAGATTGTTTACCTCTACCAAACCTCGCTATGTTGTAGTCGTGTTGTATGTACGAGAGTAACATTGTAGACATGACCTGGTGACAGGTGGTAGTTGTCACTCTAAACTGGGCTTGTACGTAGACAATGACGACATCACGTGGTTGTCAGATTGTTTACCTCCACCATTGACTACCTAACAAGTATCACAGTTTGTAGTAGTGTTCAGTACATCAAATAAAAATTAGACGTTGAATATAATGATGGAATACTTTAAGTGTTGTCTTTCCATTTTATTGTACATACCTTATAATGGTGTACAATTATTTCAACTTATTAGGAACAAAACTAAGTTTTGCCAACAACTCATAAGTATTAAGGTAAACTTGGGTTATTTGTAAATCAAACCACACATCCCACCATCTTTACCAATGAAAATAATTGCGATATTTTGCCATTAATCCTAGTATAGTTTCGTTGCTTAAAAGATGTTTCATATAAACCAATATTTTATTTTCGACATCCAGAAATTCAAAGACCCTTTAACTTATTCTACTAAGATAATAATGTACAAAATCTCTTTTTAGTCGTACACTGCTGCATTTACAGCTCTGTTTTCCTTGTCAATGTCCAAACTGGGCACATGGAAGATCTGTTTCGTTATGCGATGTTGTTGCAATGAATGGGCAACTCGATCTTGTGCTGAATAAACAAAGTTGTGAGTGTGTCTGTAGTGAGATTGTGTGTGTGGAGGCCACTCAGCGCGGCATGTTCAACAATATTTGCCCTCAGAAAGGTACGTCTTGCAGCTATACTATACTTCGACCGGTGTCTGTGTTTGTGAGAATAATAATAAGCAATATGTATGTGGACTTTGTATTTCTATGTGAACGGTTTCCTGTGTACATGAACGAATCAGGTATTCGGTTGTTTTGTCCCTCATTATTTGCAATCATTATTATGAAATATGTTCGAAAAAGCTTAAAGTAAGCGGTAGGTTAGTAGGGTAGTAAGTTTACCCATTTAAAATAAGGTTAAACGTATTTCCAATCAAATTAAAATTTGAGATTCTTTGAGGTCTGAACTCTACGAATCTTAGGATTGTAGGTACGGTAATCAAAACGAAACTCGTAATAAAAATATATTAATTTAATATACAGTTAAAGATTTATATATTTACAATACAATACAGTTCATTGTACTCATGCCTTTAGGCTAGGAACAATTGTTAGTAAGACTATACAGTATTTTTTGGTTAGTTGATTGGAAAAATACAACAGTAATGTTCTCATTAGGTTAATTTAAAACCCAAAATTAAGGAGTTTTCTTTACAAATACGTAAGGTGGTCAGATCTTTGGTATGTCCAGCTTTTTGCAGAAGCGAATCACCGCTCCTTCTTCAGTACGCTTTGGATTTCCGCGAAAGTCTTGCCTTTGGTTTCGAAGATCACAAAGTAGGAAAACAACGCGCACACGAGACCGTTGAGTGAGAAAAACGCGAACATCGCGAACACGCCGACCTCGTGGGTCACCGAGGCGTAGACCTTGTTGATGGCGAAGGATGACAGAGCGAATGTGATGGCGGCGACGGCGGCGGCGTAGCACTTGACGTTCTGCGGGTAAAGCTCGGCCAGCAGGGTGTGTGGGATGACTCCGATACCTATAGAGTGGGTGAGACCGAACACGCAGATACAGACGTACGGGACCCACACGTACCCGCTCACGTCCACGGTGGTGTTGTCTTGCAGGTAGTAGAACAGCGAGGAGACGCCTGTAGCCACACCGCAGCCGGCTCCGGAGAAGATCAACAGAGGCTTGCGTCCCAGACGGTCCACCAGAGGCGTCGCCAGGAAGTTGGAGATTGTCAAGATCAAGCCGAACACGACGATGATTTGAGAGGGTCCTATGAAAGAGTCAGTCTTGGGAAGTGTGGTGGAAGAGTACGCTAGGAGTGGGCTGATCCCGCAGGTCCGCTGGAACATTGAGATGATCACTACGATGGTCGTCGCCCTCTTGTTGCTGTAGGAAGACACGAGGTCGACAAAACTACTCTTGTCCTGCATTTCCTCGTTGACCGTGTTCTGGATCAGTTTCAGTTCCACGTTCACGGGGTTTGTAGCAGCGTTTTCCTCCGGTTGGTCTGGGCTGTTTCGTAACCACTGGAGCGCCTTTTTGGCATCTTTGTCTCTCCCCTTCATGACCAGGTAGTAGGGCGATTCCGGCATGAAGATGAACGTGGCGAGGAACAACACTGGGACGCTCAGGGACATCATGATGAGTGAGTCGTATCCGACCATGGGTCCGATGCCGAACTCGAACATGGTGCCGGCCCAGAGCAGCCCTGCGAACATGGTGGACACTGCGCCGCGGATACCCGTGCTGGCTATCTCGCCCAAGTACATGGGCGCTACGGTGAAGGCAACTCCTTTACCGGCTCCGGCGAGGAACCTGGCGACGTAGAGGACGCTCGGGGTGTGAGCTAGGAGAGCCATCAGCCAGGACAAGGCGAAGAGTAGTCCAGCCAGTAGCAGCACCACCTGCACAATAAAGGGATTAGATGCATTCTGATGCATAAAGGCAAACAATCTAACTGCTGAAGAATTTATGCTCCTAATATTAACATTTTGTTAGGTAGTACTAATTATTTGTATCAACAAAACGAAACGAGGATACATTGTAAACTATTCCAACACTATACACATCACACTGCCAAAGAACCCAGCAAACTATTTTGTAAACTTCGCGTTGCGCTCAAATAGTTTTTCTTATTTTTAGGTTGGATAGGAGATATTTTATAATTTTTTTGTAAGTTAGGACAATGAATAATGTGGCCTCTATGCACCACGAGTCGCCTCTACACTCTAGTTACTTGATCCATTCTGGATGCAGTTCTAAAAGCCATTTAATTCCTGTCAGACCTCTCCTGGAAATTACCTTGCGTCCGATGATGTCCATGAGGAAGCCAGCAGGGACCGGACTGACGGCAGAGCCGGCGTCCATGAGGGCGACCATCCATGAGATCTGGTTGCTGTTGACTATCACGGAGGTCTCGTTATGTTCCAGCTTGGGTATGGCGGGCGATGGCCACCCTAGCCAACACCCCGTCGTCATCACCATCAGGGACGCTGGAATAGTCAGGGTGATTAGAATATACTTGAAGAACTTGCTGGGAGTGATTACCCTAGCAGTTTGTAGATGGCTAACAGTTCGTCGTCACCACAATAAGAAAAGCTAGGACATTGAGATATACTAAAAAATAGGTGATCTTGCTAGGAGTAGTCGCCACAGCAGTCTCGTTTTGTTCTTGTTTGGGGTTGGATTACATTTTTATGACGTTGTCAGAATAGCGTTTGAAATGATTGGCAGGACATGCTACGTAAGCCAGTAGCCCGTCGTCATCATCATAAGCAAATACAAACAAACGAAAGTACGTCAAGAATGCTGCCTAAACGTGCTCCCATCTTGTCTAATGTTAATTGATTGGTCTGAGACAATTTGAATTGAAACAAATTGCCCTTGCCCTTACGCCAACTGTTGTTTGGTACACTCCTTCCCAGTAAACAAATTACTGACAAGGAATTGTGTGAACAATATTTTCATAAAGTGGTGTCGTCATCTTTGCAATCTAGCCATTGCCCTTTACCATGTTTGCTGAAGTACATGGCAAAAATCAATAGCTCTCTACACTCAATTATTTGAACAGAAGGTTTATATAGGGTCAATTATATAGGTTTATATATGTATCCCCTAAAGAGCGAAGGCAAATTTGGTCTAGTTCTGATGAAGTGCGACAAGTGTTGCCAGGCTAGTTTCCGAAGAGTAGAGAAAATTTTAGTGGGTAGTCTTTGGACCCGTTGGAGTCCCACCTTACAGGCTAGCCACCTGTGTGCATAAATGCATTTTCCCACCTCTCCCTAAAAAAATGAATCACCTAAGCATTTCGATTGATTTCTAAACAGTTTATTAAAAATAATTAGTTATTTTCAACGTCCGGTTTTGCAACCCAGTTAACAATGTGCACTCATTTGCAACCAAACAATCGCTTCATAATTAGCAAACCCTGCGTCAGTGTAAGATAAACGTGTTTTTATGAAATCCAAGCCCGATGATTCGTGAAGGACGATGGCCGTTGTGCCGTAGTTTTGTTATCACCAAGGTCACCAAGGCTGGCTAGTGCTGATAACAGGCGACGCCTGAGAGGCAGAAGAGGTACACGTGGTGATCGGAGGAAAACGTGACGTTTGAACAAAGTACATCCAGTAATTGGCTAGGGCCAAACTTTGCTTATGACTTAATGGAAACTGTGAACTCGGGAAATGTTAATAATTTCCTGGGTAACTGAGTGGTTAAAGTTGTCGCATTCAAGCTTGAAGTTCGCTGGTTCGATACCAAGTGATGTCAATTCTGGATCTAAATGCTTTCCCCATTACGCTATCGCTAATAATGTTATCAAACAAAATGTCGCCGTTAGATAGCAGTAAAGGTGCTGGTTTCCTACAAAGTCGTAAACTAATCAAATATAAACCGTAGATACATAAAATTACAAATACATCAGTACTATAGTCAAAGTTCAGCAGCAAAGTTGACTACAGCTCGAGTATATCAAGTACTAGCAGAGTACCCGTCCTTCGTACGGGGTTGGCAAAATGCTTATTGCAGTTATACTCAAGCTTTGCGTTTGCAATGGGGGAGAATACAGTTTGATAAAATTTGCTTCTTTAAATTTACAGTATACTACAGTATTATACATCCACCATAGCCATAATGCTCTACCAATTCACCTAAACAATAGAAAAAAGAAATCATCAAACATTTGCAAAATATCACTAATTTTTTGGGAAATTAAAAACATAACTGTAACTAATCCTACTTTGACAGTTCTCATTGAGTATCACACTAATTTTTTATTGCTGCTTAGTTCAAATGAGCTGTTTTCATAAATGCAAAAAAATAATAGTGCTGCACCCTGTTGGTAAATCTTATAACTTTTTAATGCTTTTCTTATCATAGAACCAACTTTTGTAGTTGAAACAGCTGACTATTCTTTAATTCCCTTTAAATATGAATACTCACAAGGTAAACATGGGGAACTACAGAGCCACTGGGGTGGAGCCCGAAAGGATTTTTGGGGTAATAATATGCCTATATGGGAATGTAAGCTATCATCATGCTAAATTTCAGCCCAATCCGTCCAGTAGTAAATGCGTGATTGAACTTCAAACAGACAAACAAACACACAAACTTTCACATTTATAATATTAGTAAGATAAGATAATATCATCAATGAGTGTTACAGTAACAATAAAAGATCATAACAATTAGTTACAGACTGTAGCTATTAACTGTGAACTGTGACAACATGCAATGTGTGGTAGGCCTGTATAGGTAGGTTATAGCGCACAAAACATCGTTGTTAACGATATAATGTGTTGCACGAATTGACATCCAATGTTACATTCTAGTGTTACAATGAATGCTTTAAATACACATCAAATTGAAATATAAACTATGAGCCTATTTTATTTTGATTAGATTGTTAATCAAATCATTACAATACGTTACAATACGTTATCGAGTCTGATGGTTGTTGAAATTATCTATATTTATCTATATTATTTATATAATGTATTAGTATCTTGTTGCATCGGTGTTGTACTACTTGTTCTGGAGTGGTTTGTTTACATATGGTTTATCGTAAATGGATTTCACATTACCACGCGCGTAAAAGCATGATGTACTTCAGATAAAAACAGGAAAAATTGTTTTAATATTCAAATATTATATATCGTTATAATATCAAACTAGAAAATTAAGAAAAAAGAAAGGGGCCACTTTGTTGAATTAGGTTTAACATTTAATTTAATTTAAATTAGCTCAGTAGGGCAGTTAGTTGAAACATAAAGGGCTTACATTAGTATGTAAGACATTTCATAATTTTTTTTAACAATTTATTTTCGCTTATGTTTTTACACGATATTTACACAAGGACATTATTTGTACTTTTTTAAATATTTAACTAGCTATGTCTAAAAATAATTGAAGCCTTTGTCAGTAAATTGAGGAAGCAATGGTCAGTCTAGAATAACAAAAGCAAGAACGGTTGAACAATTAGTTTGTAAATAGGTAACTAACAGATAAGAAAACATTTAACTTTTAATTAGAAATTCTCTATGTGATTACTACATTTTGCCCTGAATCTTATAAATAATCTTCTAAAAAATATTATGTACAGTATTTGAATTATAGTTTAAATTAATTTTGGATTTCAATGGTCACAATAAACAGTAGGTATGTAATTTTTTCCTCCTGGGCAAATGTTACTTTTTATTAATTACCGTGTGTAGTTCCCCACTACACACTACGGTTTTAACCAACAAAGGTAATTTTTTTATTTGCATTTTGTTGTATTGCCTAGTCAAATTTGCATAGGTAAAAAAATAAATCTTATGCACATTTTACTTTGTACTATCATAGATAATTCATTTCTTAAACACTTACCTCTTACATAAGAAACATGTCTTAATGCTATGAGGAAAAGACCAACAAATATTACTGCACTGAACTTTTAATCGTGATTTCAAACTGTTAAAACCCAGCTGTCAAGAAACCTTGTTTTATAAAAAAAAATAATTTTCAATTCAACAATTACCTGAACATGCTGCAACGTATTGTCTGAGGGCTCCAGTGGTGGGAAGATCTGTTGAAGGGACGGCACCCTTCATGTCGTCGGCTGTATTGCCACTGCCACTGTAACTGACCACCACTGGCCACTGCCACTGCCACTGCCAACACGTCGACGATATCTAGGAGCTCAAGGTCACCTGTCAGATAACAGACTGGGGTTGTACGACTCGTCTCAGCTGCGCTTGTTTTGGATTGAACAAAGTCGGGATGTTACTATTTTTGGCGCGGAAAGTTGGCAGTCGTACAGAATATTTTGTTAGGTAAATAGATGGAAAATGGTTAAACACTACGTGGTACGCAAATAATTCAATAATTCATGACAACATGTTGCTAAATAGACAAGTCCGTTAGCACGCAAATGCTAAAAAAAACAGTTAAGTAGGAAGGTTCAAGAAATAATTGTGTAAGGTAAAATTAGATATTTATTTAGTGAAACATAACGAATTAATTGTTCATGTTGTTTTCGGCTGTACAATATTTTATCCCTAAATTATTCGTAAATTAGATCGTCTGCCCATTCGAGTTATTCATGTTACATTCAATCTCAGTCTTTTTGATCAGCATCTATCAGAGTTTTACAAATCATACTTGAAGTAAGTATAGTGACATATACTTCCTCAAACTGCTTGTCAATAACCCTTATGGATAAGCGGTGGGAGTAACCATGACATTGTATAGGCAAAATCACAAAAAAATGCTATAGCTTTTGAACAGTAATTTTCACAGAATTGGGCGTTGTCATGACTTCGAAAAGCAATATTTTAAGTTCAGGGGAATCCAAAAGGGATTTTTGTTTTCACCCAAAGCCTTACTATGAATATTAGGAGAAAGTAACAAGAATAATGTGGGTTTTGTTATTATAAATCAGATTCTTCAAAATCGATGAACCGTTGTTAGGAATACTTGTGTAATTTGATCGATTAAGCCATGTATCCAATATCTTCATCTAGTTTGTTGTGTGTTCTAACATAATACAGACAATGTGGGAAGGAGAAAGGTTCGTGATCGTGAATATGACAGTTTGACAAAATTGATACAATATGTAGGTTAAGAGTCTGAATAATAGCTAGTTTTGAGTGTCAGGAAAATTGATAACTTAGAACTAATTCTCAGCATTCTTCAGATATGCAGGCAATTTATATAATATTAGCAATGACAAAATACCATAATCGTATATCGATCCAGTTTCGGCCAGGTGTGCAATATATTACGATTGTCACTACATTATACCAATGTAATAAATAGGAGGTTCATACAATTTCAATCTTCTTGTACTCATTACCAATATTCCGAATGATATTAATAGGGACATCCTTCACCATATCAGTGATTAATTTAATACTTTTGGAAATATTGAAGTTAAAAATTATGTTTAACACGTTTTATATTCTTTAACAATTACTCAACCATAGTCCAAGATTTAAAATACAGAAATGTTTAAAATGAACTCCAACTACTTAATCATGGCATTGAGTTACAATTAAATGTTGAATCAGTACATTTTACAATTGAAACTTACCTCATAGAATCACTCACTAGAAAATTTAAAATGTCAGAGCAATTTGACCTACAGTAGCACGTTTAAAATGGAAATATCATTGAAATCCAAGGTGTATAAAGTAGCACCGCACCTCACTAACAGTTGTCTGTCACACAGCTGTGTTCAAGCTGTTTGAACAGCTGATAGGCTTTATCGAGTGCCTCACGTGCTTTTTTGCATACTTTGCATTATAAGCAATTCATTATCTGGAGGCACGCCCGATAAGTTGGCTGAATATTCGTGCTTTGCAACTTCAGATATGACAAAACAGTAAAAGCCACACCTCACCGGTACGTTTTGTAAATATGACTTCTATTTATTTATCCATTCCAACGGACATCTCCATTTTACAATCATGCAAATCAAATAAGTACCTACCAAACTTCAGGATGGCTATTATTTTACATAATTATTTGTGTTTTCTTGGAGGGCGTTTTAAAATACAGAGAAAATTTTCCTAGACAAAAATACCTCTTTTATTATGTGATTTAGACATTTTGATCCAAGCTGTAGGTGAAACTAGAGTACAAGGTGGGTTCCGAACCACTGAGACACTTATTACTTATCTAAGATCTATTGTTGATTGATGGGATTTGAACCAGGTGTTTTGGGACAGTAATCCTGAAAAGTGGCCCGTACCTTCCCTTAATAACAATTTTAATGGATGTCTAATAACATTTGATATAGTTAGACATTTTATAATGTATCGGTATTTAAATACCAGCATATACCAGTTAGTTTAAGAAGTCAGTTTTACGTTAACATTTTTCTCGTTAGGAAGATTTATTAGGCGTGGAAAAACACGTTTGTAGTTTTCCCCTGACAGCTGATAAGCAGCAAACAATTCTTTGTTCATACTAAATAATACTTTATACTCAACGGCCGTTAGAACTAAGATATCCAGGTCACAGATGTGTTGATGGAGGATGCATGAAGGTCAAACAGTTCGTCTCATGGGTCACTACCATAGAATAATGACTGTCAAAGGGATCTTCACAGTCAGATGGTATGTTGATGAAACTAGACCAACATCTGGTGTGGGACTGTGAACCTACACATACAGTAGTCGTGGCTATGCATAAACCTTTGTGTATGGGTTGGTTAATGTAATACCTTTTAGACCTCCTACCATCAAAGAAAGCTGTGTACTATAGTTATTTGTGTAACTAGTGGTGAAAGTGGCACTTTGCTGCACACGAGAGCAATGTTAACGCACGAGCCGCAGGCGAGTGCGGAATGATCTCGAGTGCAGCAAAGGCCTTTTTCACTCGTGTTACACATTATATTTTTCCTACAGTCACTATAAAGCATATAAATAATTAGTCTTTCAAACACTATACAAAGCTTTTTTAGGTTCAGCTGGCAACAAAAATGGTGCCCTAGAGAAAGTAGTACCCGCGGTCCGTATCACTCCGCTATTTTTCCTCGGCAAGAAATTTGCTACGCGTTTTGAGAATATAGTTCCGTATGTTTTAGTAATTTGAATTGGTTTCCGCGCCTTAAAAAATGCTTAAAAGGTATTTTTTTTGTTTATTAAGATCGTAGGAATATTTTAAAAACGTTTAAAAGAAAAGTCCAGAAAGTTCAGGAATACCGAAACTATAAACACGAAATGACAGGTTAAATCGTAGTTATAATTAGTCAATCAGCTGCTCATAGAATTATTATCTTTAAGTGTTGCCAACCTATTTCCAAGCGTACACGGATTACGTGCATAATAAAACCACGCTGTTTTGTGTTGTTTGGTTGGAATCCTGATGTGCGGCAAAGTATAAACCGTACGGCAAAGTATAAACCGTACGGCAAAGTATAAATATGCAGCAATTAGCAGCTTTCTGTACTATAAACAGTACAGGGAAGCCAACTTTGTCGGGCGACTGTAGGAAAAAGCTATTTGTGATGTGCGAAACCTCATTGACGCTATTAACACTACACAAGTTCGGGTTACTGTGTTGATAATGTTTTTGGTTGAACAAGAAAATAAATACCTTGTAACATTGACGGACTATGCACAGTTAGTATGTCCAAGGTTGAACAAGAATTAGGAGTTAAGAAATTGTCTATACATCTTGTAGATGTCAATGCTCGTTTTAAGAAAATCTTATAGAATTTACAAATTAAGTCGGGTTAGGCAAATTTTTCAAAATTATAAAGCTCAAGCTATAATGTAAGTGTTTTATTGATAATTAATGCTGGGCTATTTTAAACCAGTTTTCGATTTCTATTCTTCTTATATTTTTTATTATTCTTTCGAATATTGGAAACCTATCATAGCAGAATTGTAAGAAAACTAAATATGTAAAATAGTAATTAAATAACTGAAAAGTATAAATTGAAAAAGTAATGGAAAATTAATAATAAATAGAAACAAATTGGGAGAATGTTTTAAGGCAATTTTAGATTTAGTTGATAAGCACAAAATCCTGTTATCTAAAATAAACCTTGAAACTCGTTTTAAAACTAATTGACGGGAAAAGATCCTCTTAGTGCTTGAGACAATTAGATTTATTGTTTGCGTTGTAGATTATTCATTCAGGGTTTTGGTGCACTTCTTTCATGAATTAGTGTTGCTTTTTTAAATATAAAATATCCATATTATTGATCGGTGTCGTTGTAATCTTTTTATTTAAGTCGTACCACAGATTGCAGTAGACATTGGTCTATTACCTGTGCTCGTACTTAATCATTTTTCTAAAAAAATGTATGTACAAAAAACGATACAGGGGAAATATCGAACACCCCCCCCCCTATATAGCCTATGTATATATATCTAATATATAAAATTCTCGTGTCACAGTGTTTGTCTGCAAACTCCTCCGGAACGACTTCACCGATCGTTATGAAATTTGGTGTGTAAATTCTGTAGGTATGCGAATCGGACGTAAACTATTTCCCGTTTCGAAATTCTTAAAAGGGCTCCGCCCCAGTGGCTCTGGAGTTTCCCATGTTAACCTTATGAGAAATGGAATTAATGAATCTTAACAGCTGTTTCAATTAAACAAGTTGGTTCTGTTCTATGATGTTCAATAGCATTAAAGTTACAAGGATTACCAACAGGGTGCAGCACTATTATTTCTTTTACATTTACGACAACAGCTAATTTGCAACCAAAAGGTGAGTGAGCGTAGCGAACGAGCTCCAACCTAAAGGTGAGTGAGCGTAGCGAACGAGCTCCAACCCAAAGGTGAGTGAGCGATGCGAACGAGATCATCTTGAAAATTAAACGTAACGGTACTTTCTTTCCATCGGTCTGTCTTAGGGGAAACCTATAACTTAGGCGATACGAAGTTCGCCGGGTCAGCTAGTATATATATATTATACACACACATATATATATATATATATATATATATATATTATATTATGGTGTGTTATATATATATTGAACACTTTTTTTTCTGAAAAGTTGATATTAGTTAATAAACGGTTGTTTCTGTTAAATATATGCACAAGTATATATAAATATATGTTAAATATATTCATAATTTTGTTAATCCAATTAATTGCATTGCATAATTAATATTAATCATATGACTCAATGGTGTTCTTAAGGATATGTGAGGTTAGTTTAATATTGTAATCTTACTATAACCTTGA